CTACAACACTTGCTCATAAAGATGAAAAGCAAGATGAATCTCTCACGAGTCAAAATGTCCAAAGTTAACAGCTCAGAAACATGTTCTCTTTTTCGAGGAGGGCAAGTGGAGGCTCACTGACACACGTGTCCTTTCTTCCTAATATGGAAGGCTTCGTTGATTTCGCACTCGATCTTGTTACGATATCGTGAAAGCATCTTTCAATTATGGAAGAGCTGGGTGCAGCTGCACGAGGAACAATGGGCTGCTAAGGTGCTGCTTGTTGAAGTCTTGAGATTGAACGGGTGCTCATTCAGGTGATTGTTCAAACATTGACTGGTCTGTCCAGCATAGGTGTAGCCACATGACAACGGAATGTTGTAATACATTGTTAATGCATTCCTCGTACTGTGTCCTGTGCTTCTTTATGCATGCATGCTCTTTGGGGTTACTTTACTTTTTCGCATAGGCTGCCGAGAAAGCCTTACGCCTGCTTTGCTAACGATCTTGAGTGCATGGCTCGCACCGCGTGCGTAACGGATGGCGGAAATTTTTTGTCTTGTGCTGGGTATTTCCTGGTGCTTTGCTCAGCACAGGAAAGACAATAAATTTTTGTCGTCTCTTAGGTACATAGTTTGAGTCATGCGCTCATGCAAATCGTGTATCAACTGGCCCTTCAAGACACCCTTCTGGCTTTAATTCCAAAATAATCTATCTCGGCATTTGCTGTACTTCACACTTGCTCCGAGCTATCTCTATACACAGGAGATTTGTAGGGCAGAGTAAACTGTCCTTAAAAAAAAAATGGTGGCACTACCCCTTTAATATGACAGTTATTTGGTCATCATATTGTGCTAGCAGTGAAACGAAACAGCCACTATTGTGCAATAAACATTCACATTCTCCAAAGATAAAGAGGTGTATTGGTTGTGCTTGAATTAAAACTGATGTCTATGTGAGGACTGTTCATAGTGTTTAAGAGATATCCATGTCATAAGGGTATCTTAATTGTCCCATTGCATTGTTCTATGTAGAGCTCTAAAATGCTTCTGGGCGAATGACAGTTTTATGTATGATTAATGTTTACTGTACTTAATAAACAATAAAACTGCGTCATTCATTTTCAGCATGTGATGGAATTGAGCCCTGTGCTTTCCATGATGTGAATTTGTCTTATACATTTTTTTGGTATTTCCCATTTCATGTTTGTTTTTGTATTTTTGCAACAGTCATGTTTGTCGCCTGTTCTGCAGTATTGTATTGGAATGGTGTTTTGCATCATACTGGATTTTGTCAGTTTTTAACTTAAACCTTTTTTATTTCTTGCTAAATGTTCTTGACATTTTTTGTTTGTACCAAAGCTTGTGTCTTTATGACCATGTAAGTTTTAATTTTGATATTACAAAATGAAATAATCACAGTTAACTTCTTTCATTGTATTACCTTCACTGCTAGAATTGTGTGGAGCTGTGCTTCTATTCTCATCATTGTGTTCACACTTCAACTTGAACATCGTACTTGATTTAATTAGTGTTTGCTTAATTTATTTATTCATTATTACTAGAGTACATGATTTGACCTAATGATAATAAACATTTTATTGCATCTGAGACCTTGTGTGAGCCCAATCTTCTTACGCTTTAGCACTTGTTCCTGGGCAAGTTGATGCCTAAGTTTGCCAAACATATGTTATTCTGTTTTATCGATGGTAAAAGCTTGAAAACAAATAAGCTTCTAAGCATGCACAGTGGCATGAAAGTTCGCTGTACTCTTTCACGTCGCTGTGCATGATTGTTTTTTCTAGCTTATACCATCAATAAACAGCTGGTAATTGGCACTCCGGATCCCTAGTCGTCACCTTATTTGTGTCCATGAATCTTGTTTTAATTTAGCATTGCACCAGAAATAATTTTAGCGCTTTGATATTTAATCTGCAGCAAAAGGGTTCTTGTGAAAGACGTTCAAGCATCAATTGCGAGAGTGCACAAAACCTCAAGGACCCTCGATATTACCACACACACACACACATATATATATAGCTAGGTATTTGTGCTCACTCAACATCAGCCTCGGACAGGCCGCATGGACATTCAATGGATCATTAGGGGGTAGATTATTTATGCACAATGAATAAGAAATCAATATACATATCTATTATGAACATATATGTACCTGTGTATATGTATAATAGATCCCCTGATGGTCCTTTTAATGTCCGTGTCGGCTGTCCGAAACGGATGACGAGCGAACGTACAAATTTGTTACCTTTGTACATTCACAGTATGTCCATTGGACGTACATTGTACGTCCGCGGATATCTGATGGATGTCCGGAATATCCGAGACGGACGTCCCGACGTATTCCTAACGGATATCCGTGGTTACTTGGGAAGGCAGAAGGAAAAGCACTTGACAGGAAAGACGCTAACTTATAACTAAACTTTTATTAGAAAACATTCATTGCACGAGAACACAAACGCGCAGGCGCAACCAACTATCACTTCAAGGTTCCATCCCCCTCCCCCAAAATAAAAGAAGGCATACGTTTATCTACTTCAACAACTCTAAAAAGACCCCTCTTTTTCACTTATTGCTACAAAAGGAACACTGATACACGTGCTTGCGTTCGCCCTAATCTGTTCTGCTTCATGATTTCTCTGGTCAGTTTGTGTTTTGATTTGCCCGGAATTCTCGTGCTGCTAAACTGCACATTGCACCCACAATCCCTGCAGTGCATTGACAAGTGCATGCCACCTGCGAGAACCTTCAAGGACGTCGCATGTTCTTGGAGTCAATCATTTAAACAATGTCCCGTCTGGCCGATGTACACTTTCCCGCAGCTCAAGGAGATTATGTACACAACCCCTGAAATACACAGAAAAAACAGCGTGGCATGTTTGCTCGGCACATTTCAGGGGTTGTGTACATAATCCCCTTGAGCTGCGGAAAAGTGCACATCGGCCAGACGGAACGTAGTTTAAATGATCGACTCTGAGAACATGCGACGTCCTTGAAGGTTTTCGCAGGTGGCACACACTTGTCAATGCACTGCAGGGATTGTGGGTGCAATCTGCAATTCGGCAGCACGAGAATTCTGGGCAAATCAAAACACAAACTGACCAGAGAACTCATGAAGCAGAACAGATTAGGGCGAACGCAAGCACGTGTATCAGTGTTCCTTTAGTAGCAATAAGTGAAAAAGGGGGGTCTTTTTAGAGTTCTTGAAGTAGATAAACGTTTATTTTCATTTCTTTTGGGGGAGGGGGTGGAACTTTGAAGTGATAGTTGGTTGCGCCTGCGCGTTTGTGTTCTCGTGCAATGAGTGTTTTCTAATAAAAGTTTAGTTATAAGTTAGCGTCTTTCCTGTCAAGTGCTTTTCCTTCTACCTTGTGCGCTCATATAATTCCACATTATACTTTAGTTCGTTTGCTCGTGCATGCGTATTTGTATACACAAGGACCAGTGAAAAATCACCAGGGGGGAAGATTATACCTATCATGATTTCCTTTATTTTTAGTGCTCAAATGTTATAAGTCATTATGGTAAAAGTGTTCATAGGCTTCAAATGTAGCTGGAATGAATACAGAAATTGGTCTCAACGGCTCAATGTGTCATATACACACACCGCAATAAGAAGAGCGTGCGGGGGGGGGGGGGGGCACTGAGCAAGCCTCTTTTGGGCGGCATCATGGTAGGCGGAGCCCCCACGCGCGGGCCCAGCAGAATATATTCTCAGAGATTGGTTTAAGTTCTCACCCACCGCCAAAAGGCTATTGGTTGTCTTATCTTGCAGCTATTTCACAGGGGACTGTTTTATGTTCATTTCTTTTTCTTTCTTGCTATTAAAACTCAGATCATGGGGCAGGGACAACGAGGGAGTCTGGCGCCAAGGTCGCATTGCGCACATATGTCGAAACACTCAATAATCACAAACGTTTTGGCTGATGGGCCAACCTTCGTCAGCGTGACGAAATGACGTCACTGTGCATCACATTGACATCACTTCACACTGGCAAAGGCTGGCCCACATGCCAAAACGTTTGTGTTTATTAAAAGTGTTTCAAGATGGAGGCGGAAATGTTGTAGGCCCGTGTGCTCAGATTTGGGTGCACGTTAAAGAACCCCAGGTGGTCGAAATTTCTGGAGTCCTCCACTACGGCGTCTCTCATAATCATATAGTGGTTTTGGGACGTTAAACGCCACATATCAATCAAAAGTGTTTCAACGTATGCCCTGCTTTCTTGCTTCCAGCGCGTGTGTGTGTGTGTGTGTGTGTGTGTGTGTGTGTGTGTGTGTGTGTGTGTGTGTGTGTGGAGAGAGAGAGAGAGGGGAGGGGAGAGCACCGCTATCTTCTTTTGTAGCACAAGTGTTAACGAGACCTATGAAATTGTGCTACAATTATTGTCCTTTCAGATACCAGCTTTTTTTTGTGGTGGGAATACAGAGCAATCCTAAATACAATACATTTTAAAGAACACTATAGTTTTCTGAGGTTGCAGCCTGTATGTGGGAAGAGGACGCACATTACACATGTAGAAAATCAACGTAAGTTGAAATGAGATTTGGCAAAAAAAATGATAATATACGATTGTACTTTTGTGATCAACTCATGCCCACTGAGCTTGGCAATGAATGGTAATTCTGTGTATTTTGCATTTTATATACAGTTGGCACTCTTCCATGTCTGCTAAGATCGCTGGTTATGATTACTGCATGTCCCAGTTATGCATGTACATGTTCATCTGTAGGGCTTTTTGTTCTGGGTCTTTTTGTTTGCCACTTGTTTTGCACCAGTAAAAAATGGCAGGTAACTTTCTTTCACAAGAGTTGAGGGAGTAGGCAACAGTTTCTGCTACAAGAGCTGGTCAAAGACCGATAGCACAGTAGATCTTTCACACAGAATGGAAAGTAATTCACAATATTTCAAAGGATACTCAGAAAGCTAATATGAGCAATCAGAAAACACAAACAGCTCTTCAAGTAAGTGCGAACAATACAGTACATCTTAGAATGGTGTCTCACCCGGTAGACGAGGTCATTCCACTTGGGGATGATGTTGCCCAGGGGGCAGCCGTGAGACGATTGGCAGAATGGAACGCCACATTCCATGCACCTGCAAACAGTCATGCATTATTCATGTAGCCCACTTGGCCTCCCCGCACACATCAAAAAGTTGCCTCGATCTCATCTTACGTCCAATTTCTTCCCCTTTCTTTTTGCAATATTTAAAAATTGCGATATTTAAACATTAGCTATTTATTTCTTTGAAGAAAGAAAAGTAATAACATAGTTTCACACTCTGCAGCCACAGTCCATACCCAGTAACAACCGAAGGGGGTTCAGTGCAATGGCCTTCACAGAAACTGTGGCACACTTTCACAGCTGTGCTAGCTGACATCCGCTCTAATCTAAAACTGAGTACTTTTGCTCGGTTAACGTAAATAATAAGCTTAAGAAAAAAATATTTTTGGCTTTCACTCTAAACATCTCTGGCTACTTTGATATTGAGAAACTTGGTAAATTCTGCCATAATGTCCAGGTTTTACAATGTGAAATCAGAAACACAGTGTTATGTTATACCTGAATAGCAAAATTAATAATCTTAAACACAAAAAAGCACTTGACATCATGGACTCACAAGGTTGCTGTGCACCCTATAAAGGGACACTTGATGTAAACAACAATTATTGTCAAATTGAGAGGCTAATGTCTGATGACATCCAAACTGTCACAATATTCAACCGAAATAGTCTACTAATCTAAAGGTTAAGGAAAATGTAATGCACAATATGCATGAATGAGACATTTTGTGATGAGCCCGATGTAATCCCAGAGTAGAATTAATCACCAGTTCGCAAACTACTTCCATCTAATTAAACTTGAACCTACTGTGTAGCTGAGGCCCATAGTCTGAAGTGTGGGTCAGGTTTGGGCTTTTGAGTAGGTCTTGCCATAAATAATGTAATTGTTAGGGTTTGACATTCCAAAATGACCATATAATAATGAGAAACACTGTAGTGAAGGGCTCCGGAAATTTCGATCATCTGGGATTCTTTAACGTGCACCTAAATCTAAGCACACGAGCCTCAAGCATTTTCGTCCGCTATCGAAAATGCAGCTGCCGCACCCGGGACTCGATCCTGCGACCTGCGGGTGAGCAGCACAGTGCCTTAGCCACTAGACCACCATTGTGGTTGAGTTGGTCTTGGCTTGTGGAATGCTTTAAGACTCGGTGTCAGCTACTCTGAGATCTGTGGGTGACAAAACTGATGGGCACTCAAACTTTGGCAAAGACAATTGAGAAATAATTTCACTACTCGATGAACTCGCTTTCCTGGCTATGAATAAAGCAGTGCCTTTTTTCTGAAGTCTCACATTGAATCCATTGTTTTATTTTTTGCCTTGTAAATAACCCATCAAGTTACAGTACCTACACTATTAGAACTTAAAAAATATGATGCTATTTCTGCTTTGACAAGTGCAAAGCACTTGACAGGGACCCAAGGCTACCGCAGAAGTTGTAAAATAAAGCGAGGTCTGTGATACAGCTAGGGCTCCATGTTTTCGAATAAGCATGAAAAAGTCTGATAAAAACTTGGTGTTAAAATTCTTGACAATTTGAATTTATTTGATGAACTCTAATTTTAACAGCCAACATGAGCCTGTTGCGTTCGTTAAAAAATGGGCATATTCTAAACAGCTGATGATTGATATGTGGGGTTTAACATCCCAAAACCATCATATGATTATGAGAGACGCTGTAGTGGAGGACTCTGAAAGTTTCAACCACCTGGAATTCTTCATTGTGCACCCAAATCTGAGCACACAAGCCTACAGAATTTCCGCCTTCATTGAAAATGCAGCCACTGTAGCTGGAATTCGATCCTGCGACCTACGGGTCAGCAGCAGAGTACCTTAGCTAAGCAGCTGTTGATACCTTCTATCAATGTTATCTCATAGACCGTACCCAGTGCAGACTTATACAAGGGTTTAACGTGCACGAACTGAAAAACATCAATGTATTAAGACCCACGGGAGCGCGAAATGACACTTTAATAAACGGTCCCCTGGAGGCACGGGGGCAAGCCAGACGACATCTAATATATGGACTAGGTAAAGCATGCTTGCATCTATTACAACAAGCTCTGAAATTTCAATATGCACAAACAAACGTATTTTGCATTCAAGCATTTGTGCTTGTGTTAATGTGTTCAGACCTCCCAAGCAACTAAAATACACTTCATGTTCCCTGACGTTTCAGCATTCAGATATGATTTAATTAAGATACTGGAGTCTTGAAAGTGGTAGGAAACTATGCTCTAAATTTCGGAGAATACGAAATTTTATGAAAAATAATGTACAATAAAAGCCGAATTTCTACCAAAAACAAAAAAAAACCTTCCAAAAAAGACTTTTTGAAGTTCCGTAAAAATAAACGCCAAAAATACTGAGTACTAGATACAACCCATGCATGCACGCATATACACGAGATGGCTGGATAAATGTTTAAGACTTACTGCCGCCTGACAAGTTCTTAGAGCACTGAACTATAAGGCGCATACCTCGCAGCCTGGACTCTAATGTTCTTGCGGACTCCCTGTCGATTGTAGATCTCCTTCCAGTCCTGCATGCGCTGCATTGCTGGCCGGTATGGCTCTGTTTCACGCTTGTACTTCATGAAGCCCCTGCACAACAATGCACAACAGTGCGCCGAAGCAATGAGCTGTTCGTATCCTACTCACTTAATTACAACAAGCCTTTGTCTAGCACTTTCTTGTTGCCACATGCTATACAGTGCTCTGATGGCATAAAAATATGTACAATGTTGGTATACATATAAGCATTAATGTTGGTATACATATAAGCATTATAAGTTGGTATACTAAGTAGTTCCCATAACTGAGAAAGTGTCACACAGGCGTGTACATTTCTCTGAAAGAATTACCGTATTTACTCGCATAATCCTCACACTTTTTTTTGGCGGGAAACCGATGCAAAGTTGGGGGGGTGCGAGAATCACGCGGGGAAAACTTTCCACGAAAACGTAAAGTGCAAAAAAGAAAACGAAGTGGCTGCAAATCAGGATTCTCACACCAGCAACTAACAGCAAGCTTTGAGAAGTACTAATGAAAATGTAACTCAACATTAAAAGCACTGGTTCAACACAAGGCAAGATTTATTTGCGATACTAAAAGTGCAAGCAAATAGTCGAGAATTAGAACACCATACGTAAAGCTTGTGGGTGTTGTGGCTGTAGCGGTAGCATTCGTCGCGCAACAGGAGCCCTCAAAAGATAAGCATAGGACGTCAGTATTGGGCTGATGGCTATTTAATAGAATCGTCTGCAGTTTCCTTCTGAAGAACTAATGTTTACAATCAATCCCAGTTTTAGGCACACAGCACGCCCAACGCGTCTCGGTAGCTTTCAGCAGCCATCACCAGTAGCGAACACAAAACTCGGTAGACTCCGAAGGGCCTACTGACGGCCCTGTTGTCGTTGTTTAGTGCACGATCTATCACTTTCAACTTGAAAGCAGCTGTGTAGCTTCAGTGTCGCCCCACAATGTGACAAGATTACCAACACAACACACAAAACACGCCGCAACGCGCACTTGCCACTTTGGCTTGGCTTGAATTAGATTGAATCTCCGTGCAGTAATAGTACACTTGATACTTAAGAGATGGCGCCAGATGACGCGCGCTATTATTATCAGTGGCTGGAATGAGCAGACTACGTTATTGCGGTAGTTTTCGGGGGTGCGATAATAACTCGAGGAAAAAAAAAGTATTTTTGTTAGGCGATGTGGGGGGTGCAAGAATTATGTGAGTGGAGGATCAAGCGAGTAAATACGGTAACTACATCCACCACAGCAGAACATAAAAATTAAGTTATTTTTTGAAATAAAGACTACAAACTAGTTTGGACCCATACAGCCTACAGATACTTCAGTATTCTCCATTCAATGTCTCATCAATCAGAGGCGATTGTCAAGAGCAGTGAAAGTAGGCATGTGCCATGATGTGTAGTGCAACACAACATTTACATAACCAAGAAGGTGTGAAGAGAAAATTTTCTCTTGCAAAAAAAAAGTTCTGGCTATGTCTCTGCAACATACTGAAGTGTGCAAAAAAAAAAAAAGACACCGATTAACCTACCTCACCATTCTGCCAGTGCGTTAAATGCGATCACAGAAAACGTGCAGCAAGGGCCGTACCGGATCTTGTCGAGGTTCTCCAGCTGCTTCTTTTTGGCATCGCCGTCGGCCACCACTTCCTCAATGTCGCACACTCTCTCGGCTGGAGCAGGTGCAGCCGGAGCAGGTGCAGCCGGAGCAGGTGCAGCCGGAGCAACTCGGTCGTTCTGCGTGGAGAGCGCAGCCTTCTCTTCGGCCATCTGCTTCAGTGCCCGCTGGTACTCCTTGGGGAACACCTGTGCAATGGTCATCATCTTTGTTGTCACCATCACAACAGTTGACCTACTCAAGTCTAGGAACAAGACAACAAGCTCATACAACAACCTACCCAGTCTTGTAACAGCTCACCACACCATCTAATATTGTGCACCACCGCAGCCAAAATTAGATCCTGTGACCTGCGGGTCAACAGCCAAGTACCTTAGCGACACAACATGTAATGTTGCAGTAATACCGTATTTATTCGCGTAATGAACACACTTTTTTCTCCTAGAATAGGAGCAAAGTTGGAGGGTGCGTTTATTACACAGGGTAAATTTTATGAAAATTTCTTCGGGAGAGCAAAAAAAATACGATAATGCAAAAAAAAAGTTAGGTCTCTTAGCCTCTCGCAATTTGCATACCCGTACACTGTTTAGAAACAGCTTCATTGTTGTGCTTTACTCATTTTGGGTGGTTGATGGCACTATCTTCTGCAAGCTGTCCCTGGGACACCCACGCATGCCATAAAGAGGCTTTGCGACTATCTTCTCTCGCAATTGTTTAACCACAACAGTGGTATCTGCTTGTGATCTCGAAGGGCGCCCAAAAGCCTCCACTCAAGGGGGAACAGGGAATGAAGGGACAGTTAGAGTGAAGAAAAAAGGAAGTAGGCTAAAAAAGAAAGAGGGGGGGGGGGGGGGGTTCGCAGGAAGCAACCAACATCACTTGGCAACTGGGCAGCTTGGTGACCTTCTGCGATGTCTCTACACTTGCACTGCTGGTGAACCCCTGCTGTAGCACACAGATAAGAGGAGGGGGGACCTGCCCTACACAGATAGAAAGATAGAATGAAAAGCAATAGGCACACAGCAATGTCCGAAAAGGGAGAGGGAGCGAGCCGAGGGGGTTGAGGGGATCCGCAAGGTAATAAAAAACTGAAGAGAGCCAACTGGTGAGGAGGCACCAGGTGTCGGTTAGCGGGACTGCAGCAGATGAAAGTAGGGTATGCATTTATTACAGATAGAAAGAAAAGTAATAGGGCACGCGGCAATGAGCAAAGAGGGGAAGGAAGGGAGCCGAAGGGGTTGAGGGGGATTTGTAAAGTAATCAAAAACGGAAAAGATCCAACGGGTGAGGAGGCGCCAGGTGTCCGTTAGTCAGACTGCAGCGTATGAGTGTAGGGTGTGCCTTTGTTAAGCGAGGGGAAAAAAATCCAAATCCTGGCGACTGAAATTGGCGGTGCATTTATTATGGGAGTGCATTCATCACGCGAGTAAATTTGATAATGAATGGTACAAGCGTACATTGAAAACGGATATCAGAACATGTGATTATGATGACTTCATGATTTAAAGCAGGCCACCCACTACAGAAGGCATGCATTTTACTGCGCTTTTTTTCTTAAAGGGGCTCTGAAACACTTTCAAGTAACAATGGAATGAATTCACTGGGAGAGCTTATTGTCTCACGAATTCAACGCCACAAAAGTTTTAGAAATTCGTCCAGTGGGAGTGGAGTTACAAAGGTTTATCGCATGCTGCAATTGCATTCTCTCTTCTCTCATCCCGATGAAAGAGCTGGAAGCTAAGCAGGGAGAGATTGCAGAGCCACAGAAAAACATCAAGCACACCTCGTGACCTTGAGCAATTTTTTTCTTTTTTTTTTCTTTGAATGCGCAACTTTTTCAGTGTGATCGCACGCGAACGTGTGGACAAGTAGCAGCTTCCCGAGGCAATCTCTATAACGAGCGAGTGTGCGATGTTCAAATCAGCCAATGACTCATAGATGGGCCGTTGACGTCAAATTTTTGAGCATGTAGTGTGATTTGTCAAGGGAAGAGAAAGCAATTTTTAGCCGACTTTGATAAATTATTTTGAATACCAGACTGTGTGCTGTGGTATAATATTTGGCTCGCATGTTGTCAGAAGCGTGATCGGCAGCATATTCTGACCATGCTCAAAAAGTGTTGCAGGGCCCCTTTAAGCCCACTTAGTGAGTGCATAGCAAGCTCAAAAATATTCACCCACAGAATTGAGCGTGGTTTAAAGCATTCTTCCTGTATAACAATGCAGGCGTATGTGAAAGCTTCATTGACACAAGGCATTTTGAACTCAGTATGCACTATAGGGACAGGATATCTCTATCGCATTCAACTGTTAAAGACGAAGCCTAAGGGTCGCCCAATTTTTTTTTATTGCTGAACCAAATTCTTCATACTATTATATTTAAGAAAAAATTGTCAGAAACTTTTTTGAGTGACCGTAAATTGACAAAAAAATTTCTTGTGTAGCACATGTTTTTTTCATGAGCAACAGGGAAATAAATTCTAAAAAAAACCTAAAGAGCTGTTAGAAAATGATGCACTGCAATAAACACCTGTGTAGTTCATATACAAAAATAAGTGGATATAGAGGCATCGTGTGGAAACACAGAGAAAAGAACCCCTTTTTATCCACTCACATCGTCTCGCCCATTTTTGAAATTTCACTCGCTCATGAACATCTGAATCTTAATTCGTAACTAATGCCTCGCATGACGGGCCAACATTTACAGAATCGGATGCTGATGCGTCAGTTGAGCGGTAGTTTGGAGGAATCACCCCTAGACTCACTTTTGCAAGAGAGAAACCGGCATTTACTTCCATAACGTAAGCAAACTGCACGAATGAGCACACTGAAGAAAATTGGGTAGTTGTGGGTGTATCTGAAAAGCAAAACAAGTCTGCAGCGTATATTAATCCTTTGTCTTTGTGCCAACAAAAAGGAAGTGGTTTTTTGCAAGTCCTCAAAACAGGTAACACACCTACAGTGGCATCGTTTGTGTCAGTTCGTGCCTGCACAAAACAAATGTGATTGTCTACCAGAGAGTAATAAACAAAACAGTACCTTGTATGTCACCCTGCGAAAGATTTAAGAAAAAGCCATCAATTTTGCAGGCTTGGTAAATGGAAACTGCCAGAAAGACAATACAAAGCTAACCTGCAAACTGACGTAGTAGAGCATAAAAAACAAACGGTGAAGTATCAGTGGCAGAAAGAATACCACGTATTCCTGCAATATGGCAGTGCGTCAAGCAAGAATAATGATCGAAAAAGTAGTGTGTTCCAAACATGCACGCAATGACATACAATCGACTGTCTTCTGGCTGTTCGAGATTACATACATGTACGTCTCTTAGCTAGGCTTGTGCTAATGTTTTAATGCTGCAAATATTCCAACAAATATTACTGCATTCGAATTCACTTCAATTTAAAATTAAAAGACTGAAAATATCGAAGTATTCTGAAAGGAACAAATAAAAATTTATTAGTGTGCATGTAACCTCCTGTAAAGGTGGTTTCACTACAACACAGAGTGCTCAACCGTGAAAGCATTTACTGAAAAAAACTTTGCACTGCCGTGAAGCCAAACTTCTTGGTCAAATGGACAAATTAGCCTCGCATCGTTTCATCATTTTTTATTGCGAGAGCAATTATATGGACACCCTCGACTGAACTTTGCCACCGGCGTCGACGTGGGCATCGCTGTCACTCACCGTGTATGTATATGTATCTATCTATATGAAAACACAAGAAAGAAAAAATTCCAGAAAAAGGCTGGCACGCGGAGTCAAACTTGGGACCTCTGAAACGTGAGTTCGAGGCATTAACCACTAAGCCAAAGAACTGCGTGTCCTTCAACATTGACATGGCAAGTTATTTATATCTACTACTTACCGCTGGTGACGGGCATCTCTGTGGGGAACAATCGTTTCTTCAGCATTACCAGCAAGATGGCGCTATAAAGGCGCGTCGCCACATCGTCCTGGCGCGGCAGCGTGTGCTCTCATCTTGCCTTGCGGAGAGAAGGGGGTAAACGTAAAGCCCATGGACGCTCACTCGCGTGCCCTTATCTCGTGGTGGAGAGAATTGTATGTCTTGGCTGGCCTTTGGGTTTCATCGGAACGATTTCGTTGTTATTGGGCGCAGAATGATCACTGGAATTGTTGCACAGTCTCCGTTTGCGAAAAGAATGCACTTTTCAGACACAGCGAAGTGACAACTGAGATGATTATTTGCATTCATTTGTGCCTGTGAGTAGTTTCGTGTGCTATTTGTGTGTGAGAAACACGGGGCACGATTCAATCTGCTTGACATTCTGCGTGTGACCTTCTAATTTGTTGTTACTGCATTCATTGCTTCTTCTTTGCGGCAAAGCTGTGACTTTTTTTTAAGTTTAAAAGGCTTGCTATACCGGCTTATGTGCTCTAAGCATAGTACATTTTAAAATGTAACATGCTCTACAGCAGTGGCTCGCAGTCATGGATGTGTCGGGGACCCCTTGTGGACTGGTGGAAGGTGATGGGGGATCCCTTGCAGTGGAGGGGAGGGGAGAGGGTACGTAGGTAAATTAACACAACTGGAACTTGAAAGAGGTGCCTTTCATTGCTACCAAAAACATCAAACAAACGTGCAACATCACTTCACTTTGGACAGTTCATTAATACGTGGCACAGTCACACCTAAAGAAAAATGCAGGTGATGGTTTCGCGAATCATAGAAATGGCTTTGCGGACCTTGTAGGGTCCACGGATCCCCATTTGAGAAATACTGCTTTACAGGATTTGCATTCTTCAGAAAGTCAAGTCCTGCTGCTGTTCAAAGTTGTTTCCACTTTCCTTGAACCAGAAAAAGTAGCATCGGCCCAGGCCTTGTTTCAGTTTTAAAAAACACTGTGCAGGCTAGTTGAGTCATGAGAGATATGTGCATTTTCTTTATAAAATGCGATATATATACTATTCAAATTCGTTTAGAAATGATTCAACTAAAGTCACTATTGGCTTTGAACTTAAAATTCACTATTTGTACAAGCCTACTTTTAGCTTAAAAGCATTGATATGAATGCAGATGAATATGTCTGAGAATTAGAGTGGAAAGAGTGCGTTTGTTACCCCATATTCAGATACAGTAAGTGGTGTACAGATATTACTACAGAGCTAGTACAATGACCATGGAGCACCCATTTCCAATGCAACAAGTGAATATATCTCCTTCCAC